GGTAAGTGACTCCTATTTACAGGATTGTGGTAGGGCCTTGTGGCCTTCTCTGACGAGGACAAGGTTTAAGTTTTCGAAGCCGAGATAGGCAATTAATCACTTATTTTTACTGCTACTATTCCTTGGGGTTCCTATCATAACTATACAGGCGCCACGACCCTATTCCAATTATTCAGGCCTCTAGTCTATATTGTGTTTCAGGTTCCTGGCAGTACTAGGACTTCCAGCTCTCGAGCGAGCCGTGCTTCCGTCTGGTGAGTTTGGACCTGCAGGCTTCCCTGAGGCCCTACTTCCCCGAACGGCTGGTTAAACCCTCATCCCTGCACGACTTCGTAAACCCTAAGCCCTGGACTCCTAACCCGGCGGAGCTGATGTTCTTCAGTCCCAAGCTGTAGGGATTTCGTGGCTGTAGGGTGCAGGGCTGAGAGATCTTCAAGCCTAACCAGACCTCAGACTCCGAAATCCGAATTCCCGAACATCGAATGTACAAGCCTGAAGACGTACCAACATTACTCGTCAGGGCTCCTGAATGAAATGAAGCAGCAGCACCCTATTTCTGGTTATTCAGGCGCATGGTTAACCCGAAGCCCCGAAGCAACCAGGCAGTTCTTCGTGGAATCACACAGCTCCATCAACGACCGGGTTTTCTCCCTCTTCACCTGGCCAAGTCAGCTGTGCCCTAGCAGCGATCGGGTAGGGCTGTCCCTTATTTGTCGGTTCGGTAATCCTACGTAATGACGTAATGCTCGGATTGATATACGGTCTTGCCATATTTGTAAGGGTTACGTTGTGAGTGGGGCCAGGCAACCCAGCAACCAGAAACCCACAGCCCTACAGTAACATGGAAATCCAAACAGGAGATATAGAATGAAGAGTGAGCGTAGGATGCCCTAAGAAACGGCAGCAATGGCGCCCGAAAGAATCAGGTTCCATGGCCCTCCAGACGAGTGACATCGCATGCCCCATGCCAGCCAAGACCCAAACTTGTAAAGATTGACAGTGCGGAAAATGTTTGAAGAATGTTTCTTATGATTTCAAGGTCATTTCATAATTGAAGACACTCTAGGACCGTACACAACGGCATTCAAAGATGTCAGCCCCCTCAAGAACCGCTGGGTCTGATGCTTTTTGTCTTACAATTCGAGGATGCTAATCTTCGGGCTGACAACGCTCACGGCTAGCTTCGTGTTCCTGTTCGTGCAGCGCCCCTGGGCGCTGCTGTCTCTCGGCTAGGGGCTGCAGGGCTTCAACAGGTGGGATAGATCCTTATCAAGGCACCTGTGTGATCTCCCCCAGCTTTATCGCCTTGTATACTTCAGCCTATGGAGCCCTTTAGAGTTGCGGAGTTGGGGTTTAGGGCCGTTTCGGGTTTGGGCTGGGGTTGAGGGATGTAGCAGGGCGTAAAGAAAAGTTTGGAAGTTTGCGGGGGGTCGGCTTTGGGGTTGTGGCGTCGGAGATGAGCATTTTCTAACACAGGTTTCAGTTTGTTAACAGGAGCTGCCTTGCAGTCAACTTACAGGACCTCCTCTCCGTGGCACTTGTGCATTTTTCTCAGGTGCACTGTCCCGCAGATGATATGTCATTCCATCGGGGAACCCCTTGGGCCCAACCCTGGGGAGATTGAGGGTGGGGACGGGGGTCGTGGGGACCAGGAGGAAGAAGTGGAACTGTGGAAGGATTTCAGGCCCAGAGCTTGAGAGCTCAGGGTTTGGGGTTGACGGCACTCGTAAGTTGAAGTGCCGGGTGTCTGAAGTATGCTTTCCACAAGATTCCATGGGGTCCAAAGTTCACCACAGCCAACTATCGAAGCATCCGTTCTCTTCTCGCATTTCTTAGTCGCCGTCCCCCCGCTTCATTGCACATCTCCACCTTCAGGGGCAAGTAGGTTTAGACGGCTCAAGACAAGAATCATATTCCAACCCGAAGCGCTGATTTCAACACTAAGCCCTCAACCTTGATAAAGGTTGCACGACTGTGCAGTCTCCGTCGCCCGTGCGCCGGCGCTGTTAGCGGAGTGGAGTGGGGCCCGCAAGAAAAAGAATGGTGCTGACAAAAGGAGGTCAGATTTCATTCTTCCATATATGACGACAGAAACAACCATGGGTGCATCCTCAGAGCGGTCACCAGCATCTTTCAAAACGTTTGCGCAGTCGATGTATCCCAGAGCATCCACCGAAAATCTCAGAACCCTGCTGACAGAGCCCTTGTGGCGACCCTTACAACAATCCTCATACTAGTAGTCACCCCACACTCATCCCACATGTCTGAACTTATCCCCAGGGCCCTTTCGGCGTTGGCAGGACGTGGACCCGGATGTCATCACTGGATACAACATCAACAACTTCGACCTGCCTTGAGCTGAGGTTTGTCGTGTTCAGTGCGCGGAGTTTGGCTTGTTCCTTTTGGGAAGCCTAGACGGGCCTTACCTCGATGAGAATGCTCAGTCCATGGGACGTCAGGGGTGCAAGGCTTTGGTCTGCAGAGAGAAGCACACGAAAGGAGTGTCCCTGAAAGGCATACACTAGTACAATGTCTGTTGTACTTGAAATGGGTGATTTCTATGGATACACGCCTGGGGGATAGTCGAAACCTAGCTGCACAGCTTCTACGCTTCGCCGGTTTTGTTTGATGAGCAGTCTCGAGCTGTGTCGATTTTGTTCTTCTTGTTTTTTTTGTATTTTGGCTCAGATTCGGGCATTGCTTACTTGCCTCCATTATTCTGTCGATCAGGAAAGCCAGCAGCTTTCACGACTGTACCTTAGGGTTTTTGGACTCAGGGTTTAGGTTTAGGGTGTAGAGTGTAGGGTTGAGGGTTTAGGGTCTTGAGGCTTGAGGCTTCGCGAAGCCCTGAACCCGCCAATCATGTAGCTCTCCTCTTTCAGCTTGTCAAGACTCAGGCCGTATCTGCTGGATCGCGCAGAAACGATCCTTTGTCAAAGTGGAAGGTTCTTCATATTGGGCTTTTCATGCTGGGTCCGCTGTTATTTAATGTTCGAGATTTCTGCTGCTCCCCTTGCGAGCCGTTTTAACATAACCGCGGCTCCTGTGTTGGCAGCCGGTGCTGCTGTGATATGTCGCTCAATTTACATCTTCCTCGCTGATGTATCAGTCTTCGTGCTAAATTGCTGCAATGTCTCGACATGTTGGAGTGTGTGATAACGCACGCAGCCACCAAACAACGGCGGTAGTCAAGACAAGAAGCCGAGCAACTAGTAGAGGTAGTTCTGGCAGCAGCCGTAGCGGTCGCAGTGGCATTTGCAGCGGCAGTGTGCGAGGCAGCAGCAGGAGCAGAAGCTGCAGCAGCAGCAGCAGCAGCAGCAGCAGCAGCAGTGGCCGCCGTCGTGAGCAGCAGGAAGAGCAGAGCAGGAGAAGGAGGAGGAGGAGCAGCCTGAGCAGCTGGTGACTAACGCGCTCCTAACAAGTGCTGCAAACGGAGCTTCCCGACCTTAGCCGGGAGGAAGTGGGCGTGAAGTCAAGCAGCTGGGGAGTTGAGGGTGCAGGGATAGGACCCTGGAGTAATATAGAAGTTTGAATATTTATAAAACTAAGGTTGCATCATGAGTACTGTGTTGCGGGTCGAGCTGGGCAGTAAGTGGAGCAGTCGAGTCCTGTGTGAAAACGATGGCTTCTCACTACAACTATAGTGTCATATGCCCAACCCCATTCCAAGGTTTTTCGACCCTTTTGTTAGTTTCTGGAGTAGTTGCATGGCAGTTCGTTGTTTTGGCTGTTTTGCAGTTTTGAGTTGTGAGTTCCTTTTTCTGCGAGTCTCGCCAACAAGTCAACAAGGAAGGGGATCAGCTTCGACTTCTGCAAACTTGGGCGCCTTGCTGGCGACCGCTGCCGCTCAGCTGCAAGAATTCGTGCTTTGGAAGTTGGAAGCCAAACCCATACCCTAAGTGTCCGTCTCACGGTTTATCAGGGTTAGCATCAAGATGTAGGTTGCCTGGTTCACGCTCTACTTTAACTCCCCACCCCGCAAGTGCAAGAACCGTTGTGCACCGGAGGGGCTACGGCTCTTCTAGCTGTTGCTTGGCCCCACGACTTGGAGCGTTACAGCTAATGCCCAAAAGAAAACACAGTCAAACATCGCCAAAACATGTCCCACTGTTTCGTTGCGATCCTATAGTCTATATCATTTAGGTGCTTGTTAGGATCCTGTTCAGTGCATCGGGTTGACCGCGGGTTACGCATTGTGGCATTGCAGAGAAGTAGACTTGGTTTCTGAGTCGTATGACTACGGCTGTCAGCTTAAACACCAACCTCCAGTCTTTAGTGTCAGGGGATGGTGGGTCGACTTGTTTTAGGTATTGATGTTTTAACTTGTCCTGAGATCCGTTCACATTTATCTTATGAGTCAAAGTGCCCTGATAGGGTTTCGTTCCTTTGGGCCTCCGCTCTCAGATGTAATTGGCCCAAAGCCCGTTTCCTGGGATCTGAACTTGGAGATGTCATGGACACGTCGCAAGCACCAACACTTGCAACCAACTTTGTGGTGTTAAGTAGGGTTTAGAGTTTCCCACGCCCGACGTCCTAAGACCCTAGGCCGCACATAGCCGGTGGGAAACAGAGCCTCGCCTGCAAAGCACCGCCGACGAAGCACGCATTCAACGCAAGGCCGAAAGCGCATCAACAATTTCAGTGGCCGCGAAACTATCGAGATCAATATCGACGGCAGGCCCTGTCTCTTGAGTTTCTGAGTTGCCAGCTTGATTTATTAGTCTTGTCATTTGTTGGTGCCATGAATGTTGCAGCAAGGGTGGTGCGGAGTCCGTTGGCGGGCGGCGGGTTTCTCTGAGAATCCCTATAAGCCTTCTGCAGCAACCCCGATTGCGGGGCGTGAACCTTGCACCAGTCCTAAACTCCTAAACCCTAAGACCGTGCCTGCCTTGTGCGAGTTGGTTTGAAGCCCTAAGGCTTAAGCCCCAATCTTGGACCGTAGCCATTTGGCCTTCGAAGTTCGAAAGAGACATCGCGCAGCCCCTTACCGGATCTTCCCCATGGCTGCCCGTCGCTCCAACGGCTTTGGACCCCTGCTCCTCTTCGCCGCCGCTTCTGGCTTCCCCAAGCAGCACCCTCTTTTCCTTTGAGGACTTCTATAGGGGTTCTGTAGGATTCCAGGACGCCCGAGCAGAACTCTTGTGCCTTTGTTTTGCAGGGTCTCCTGATTGAGTCTGAACTTCTAAGAACAAGGGTTGCCCTCATGATTGAGAGTACACTTGTGCCGACTGGAAACTGGAAAAGAGTGTACCCTCCTTTGGTTCTTGTCATGAGTTCTTAGTCTGATGAAGGAGTTTTGTGTTAGGCTGTTAGTCTTAATTCGTATCATTGCTATCGTGATTATTGTTATTGTTGTTTCTATTGTTTTTGTAGATAATATTCATAATAGTACTATTAATATTATTTTGTTAGTGATCTTTTGATGATTAAGGCTTGCTGGCTAGTGGACCTCTGGGCGTCCAGCACACTGCCGCGCGACTTAGCTTTGGTCATCGCCGAAGATCCTCCCCAGAATGTCGCCTGGCTTCTTCTTAAGGGACGACTCGTTAAGTTAGCATGACAGGGAGGTATAGCAAATAGTTTGTTTCGAGGTCAATGATCGGAGTATAGAACTAAAACTATGATTTGCTGCTCTTGTTGGGTTCAAAACAAGTTCTTCGTCAAGAACTCAGGTCGTGCTCCCGCAGCACGAGGACGCCGGCTTCTTCACCAAGGTGGGAAGCGAAACTAACACTACTTCCCCTGTGAGTCGTTGAGAGAAGGAGTTGGGCATTTTCTGGATCATGGTTATGCAGGAGGGAGTTCCTGAATATTTATTTCCCCTAAGCCCCAAGCTCCAGGTCTTTGCTGCTGCCGCGCAGGGTTGCACCGCCGCCCTGGTGGCGGCTGTCCTTTCCGCCATGTGGGAGCTTCAGAGAACAGGGCACCCCCTAGTAAGGTAGTAAGTATCCTACTAGTCAGGGTTTTGCAGTAAGGCCTCCTGTTATTGAAACTCCGATGTGGGACTGTATCCCAAGCAGGAACATGCAGGAACCAGGAGGTGCTTCAGGTTATGTTTCAACAGTACATACATAAACAAACGGGTCATCGTTCCATGCTGCTGTCTGTTTGTCTTTTCTCTCTCTCGCAGTCTTGGCTTGTATGTATATATATATACACACAACTTATACATACATATATCTATATATCTATACATATCTGAATATACACACACACACATATATATATATACATATATATACATATATACATATATATATATACATACACATACACATACATATGCGCACGTATATACACACATACGCCTCGACATCGCAGGGCTCAGCTTTTCGGGGTAGGATCCAAATCCTACTAGAGTCCGAACAATTCGCAAGACTATGTTTCCTTATCTTCGCATTACGTAGCCCGAAACCCTGGCATTAATGATTAGGCCTTATACCAAACCCTTATAGTCATCCTTATAGAACCCTCAATCTTGGGCAAGAACCACACCTGGAAATCGATTTTGGGCAATTACCACAAAGTGGGACCTCCAGGGCGATGCTTTCTGTAAAGAAATCCAGTAAAGGAACCTTAGTCTACATGCTGAGGTCCTTTTCCTAAACCCTTGCAGAAATCCTTATAGAACCCTTAAGGGAACCCTTTCGAGGATTAAAAGGAACTTTTCTCCGGGCATTAAGGCTCCTATGTTACTGTACTCTGAGGTGTGAGCCGGTGGTGAACCGCTTGCTGGTGAAGCGCATGACGGTCTCTGAGGCCTGGGAGGAGATAACCCTAAACCGTAAACCCCACCCCCCAAACCAAACCTTAAGCCTTAAACCCAACACCGAATTTCCTGAAACCCAATCACCCAAACACGCGTAAACCTACGCCCAACCCCTGCCTGCCCAGTGCGAGTGCGCGGGTGCCGAAATCCTAAACCCAAAGCAAAAAAAAGCTCCCTGAAACCCTAAAACCCAGGCCTACGCGGAGATGACCCTCAGCCTCGTTGCCACTTACTTCTTCACCACCTTCCCGACGAACTTGGGTATATGGTATTGATAATATGTTAGGTTGTTGTTACACATCAGGCATTACATATTATGGTATGTTATATTTCATAATACTGTTGTTGCAAGGGTGAAAAAGCTCAAGCTTTTATTGAAGGCTTTCAAGGGTTTTAGGAGGCTTCTTTAAGGTTCTTGTGGTGTCAAGAAATCGAATTAGAGTCTGGAGGTTACAGACCTGCCGTAAGGAAGGTTTTACCGTGAAGAATAGGCCTGCTTTATTGACATTGAAGTATGGTAGTTCACGAACCCAGGAATATGCTGAAGTTTCCGGTCTTCGAGGTGATCAACAGGGCCATGACTTTCACAGACTTCTCGCCGGGAGTCAGTGGCCTGATCAGTGGTTGGCTGTTCTGTACCATCATGCTTCCGGTGACAAACTACCGCTTCCGCAAGAGCATGGGTTGGGAGATCAAAGCATCGCTGCTGTACCAGGCTTACATTCCCACGGTCGCCCGCGACATTATGTACGGCTGGGCACGTGGAATGTCCGGAGATTGGCTGCAGGACACCATCGCCCCGGTCACCTTCACCCACAAGGCCATGGTCTTTGGCCTAACGATCTGGGTATCTTGCATCATTTCATCTCCTTGCAATGAATGGCGAGGGTACACACTGCAGCTACCAGAAAGAAAGCTGCCTTTCAACATCTACTTCAGGCCCATCAACTATGCCCGATCTACAGGAATCGGCTCTTGCATCATGGGCATTGCATTGATGTTTGGCATGCTGGTGACGCCTTACGCAGAGGAAGTCTTCACCCACATGAAGGAACATGCGGCCATTGCTCTCAGCATTGTTGCGGTGCTCGTCATGGCGATCGTGATGCTCTCAAAATCAAAATGAGGACAGCTATACAGAGTTGTTTCCTCAGAATTTTAAATTTGCTTCCTCAGAGCAGGAAACCTGCTAATGCACGGAAGAACGGATCTGGTTGCTCTTGCAGCGCTGCATGGCAGCTTTCAGAATGAACTTTGCATTTTCCGATCCGGTTAAGACTCATCACTAGACCCATCCATCGCATCGTTGAGAAAGGCGAGTGTCGCGTGGAACCCAGGCTCTCTCGTCTTCAAGGCTCCTGGTGCCTTCTGGTACTTACTAATATATGTGTACATGTGACTTGGAGTCTGGTTACGCATACATACATACATACATACATACATACATACATGATTCAAAGACACATTGCCACAGGATTTTGCATATATATGTAAATTTTTACATATACTCACACAAGACAGCCATGGCACGAACAGTGCTCCTGGTTGTGGCGGAGCTGCAATTCTACATAGCTGATGAGAAAGACTCAAGAGTCTACCTGAAGACTCCGACGTTCTTCCGTGCCATGTGATGGTTGGGGTCACAGCCAGGATCAGTTTCGACATGCTGACGGTCATCCAGAAGGCTCGAGCCTTGACGTTGCTGCAAGCAGCGGATAGAATATTATATTGTGGGGGTATTTGCTGCGGAGGGCAGTCATACTGCAACCTGATTTTGTGCACGGTTTCAAAAAGACCCGAAGACCCACTTAGTTTGAGTCCCTACAAGAATGTAGGTTAAGCTTCGTAGTTTTGGGCAGAGTCCAAACTACGATTGCGACCCCAGGCTAAGCCCTCAATCGTTCTAGTCTTCAGGGTCTAGTGTGCGATTCGGGCAGACCGTTTTAAATTTAGGGCTGCTTGGGACAATGGTGTGCTATTAAGACTTTGACGCAAAATCATTTGGGATTTTTTGAGGCTACAGATTCCATAAATCATTCGAGATCTCCAGTCCCCAGCAAGCCCGGCTGACTGTGCACTCAGCCTGAGAGGTCCAGAGGCGTGCCTTCCTGATTGCACATATCCGAACCGAATTCTTGCATGTTGCTGAATCTTGTGACAAACTTGTTTGTGGGCGCCACGCGCAGATTACATAATGCATGTATGCATGGGTGCACTGGTATGCATGATTACAGACACGCATGCATACAGGCAATGGCAATATTCATGCATGCATGCATACATGCATATACGCACAAGTGCACATTCATTCATTCATTCATTCATTCATTCATTCATTTTTACACACACGTGCTTAAATACATACATGCGAATACACACATACGATTTGCTATACGTACATGCATGCATGCAAAACACACATATGTGTATGTGTGTGTATATATGCACACACGCACACATAGACACACACACACACATTTGCACATTCTTTGTACACATGCATGTCATGTCCCTCTCTGTCGCAAACAGTTAAGCACAAAGCAAATGTTATGTAGACTGTGTTTGATGTGCTTTCTGTCAAAAACATACATATGAGTATTTGTATATCTAGCGATCTAATATCTTTATCTCTATCACTCGACCTACCTATCTAGCTATCTATCGATCGATCTAACCACATACGTTTCCATTTATCTAATCTCTCTGTCTGTCCGCCTGCCTACCTGGCTCGCTGGCTGGCTGGCTGGCTGGCTGGCTGTCTGTCTGTCTATCTGTCCATCTATGAATCTATCTATTTATCTATCTATCTGTCGGTCTGTCTTTCTATCTGTCTACCTATCTATCTGTCTGTCTATCTATCTATCTTTCTATATAATCTGTATATCTATCTATCTATCTATCTAAGTATCTATCTATCTATCTATCTATCTACTACATATACCTATGTATAGATACATGTATGTATGTATGTATGTATATATATATATATGTACAAACATGTCATATATTGATGATGCTAGGTGTTGTTGGGCCACATGCTTGCGGGCAGGAGCAGAAGCTGAGCTCTTACTCGCTGAATGCCGTCTCAGCCGAGTTCTTGGGGGAGCAGAAGGAGGAATCCGGCAGGTTAGAATTCCCCAAGCCCTAGACCGTGAGGTTTCAAGTCGAGGATGCTGGTTGAAGCATTAGGGTTATAGGGCTGAAGGGCCGTGCGAGTGCACATGTGCAAACCCAGTAACAAGGACTTATGCTCAGGGCTTTGGGGTTGAAGGGTTGCTGGATCTAAGGCTTAGGGGTTTAGGGTTGATGCGATGCTCAGGTCTGGTATGTATGCAGGCGAACAGTCTGGCGAGCAGTACTTGGTCCACTGATGTCGCTGTTTTCTTGCCGTGGTGAATGATGCCAATTTAATTTTTGTTCGGCACATTGTGGCCCGCTTGTATCGGGAGACGTTCTTGCATTGGTTACAGTAAGTTGACAGAAAGAAGTTAATCTTGAATCTTGAGGCCTAAAACCCCCCAAAACCCCTAAACCTTGTTGCTAAAACCACAGACCCCATACCCTTAGATCTCAGACCCTGAGACACAATCGTGGAAAACTTGTGAGCCGTGCTCTTGGGGGGAGTGTGAGAGTCGACACCCTAGTCCCAAGCAGGATGTGCACCACAGCATGATCGGCGACCTCTTCCTGGGCAGTGCTGAAAGCCGACGACGTTTAGCCGTCTACTGCTTGAAGGACGGTGTCGGGCTTCAGACTTGTCCTGATAAAGATGCTCTGTGACGTAACTAGCATTCTCATGACACTCAGCGTGCCGCTACCTTCTCTAGTATACTTCCTATAATCCTGCATCCGAACCCCTGTAAAGGTGCTGACGATGCATGTGTGCGGGTGGAGAAAGCACTCCCAAAACCTCTCCAAGCTCCAGACACGAGAACCGCATGTTCGCTTCCGGGGTCTGCCAGGATTCTAGCCGAAGTCGCAAATGCAAGACCAGATTGTAGAAGACATAGTAAATAGTTGATGCAATAGAGTAGAAGTTAGATCTGCAACCCCATAGGATGGACAGTCAAAGGAAGCAGTTGCTGTGCACGTAGAGCGGTCGGCCACTCGTGAGAAGTGAGCCTTGACTAAGAAACAGCAGGAATAGAATCACAAAGAGCACGGTCATGAGCGGCGCGCGTGGTAGAGTGATCGTGGTAGTTGCGGTGCTGGTCGTCGTCTTCGTGTGATGATGATGATGATGATGGAGATGATGGCGAGTAATGCTATCATTGCTTTCGATATTAACGATATTGTGTTATTGCCTTGTTATTATGTCTTTTGCTGGTCGTAGTAGGAGAAGACTCGGCTCGCTTAAACCTGGTCGAGGATGCGTACTTGCCCATGCGCCTTATGGACAAGCTCCTATGCATGTCCCTGGGCACGTTTCTCCGGCGTCAGCTTCAGGTTGACTCCGGCGATGTAGCACAAAGAAATTTCGGACAGAACAGGACACCTTGTTTGAGGGTCCGGTGTTTATTCGGGTTCACTGCTTTCTGAAGCTCTTAGATGCCCTGAGGAATAGCCTGCAGGTCGCCTAGGCAGCAGGTGAATGGTCTAGGGTTCGGGGTTGCGGTTTAGCGTGTCGGGTAAACCGTGCTAAAGCATTTGGGTGTTCTGCCCTTCTGCCATATCAAGAATCCCAGCCGTTCAGGTACAACTATGTCGAGATGGCGCGCGTGACGGGCACGCCGATCAACTTCCTGCTGAACCGGGGGCAGATGATTAAAGTCCAGATTTCTGGCCGAATCTGAGGAGAGATCGGGTTGGGACTGTCGGGGCCATGTTTTCACAACAGATTGCGTCTTTCTTGCGGGGGGCTTGTGCCAGGGCCATGGCGGCCATTCATGGAGAAAACATGCTGCCATAGCTTAGGTTTTCACAGTCAGGCAATGTTGTTTTCGGGCCTTCGCGCTCAGCTTTGGTTCCAAGCGGCATTTCCCTTCACACCTGTGAAGAGGAGGCTAATGAGACGGACGGCGAACCCATGAATGCCGACAGGCCCATACTAAGGTAGGAAGGAGCTCGAGCAATTGGCGTCACCATTCACCTCAATAAAAGGGGGCTTGAATAAAAGCGGCTTCCCAAAATAAGATACCACCAAAACCCCGTTATACACATTATGGACCCTCAATTGTTCCCTCATGTAATTTTGATAGATGCATCCCATGTCTCCGTTCTACGTAGCCTTCACGTCTTTCTGCTTCGCCACGAAATCCGAGGCCTGGACCACAAATAGGCCGAGGCAACACAACATTCCTGGATGATGTGCTCGTATAGGGGTCTGAACACTTAGAGGGTGATTACAGGGTTTTGAAGGCTTGCATAAGGGTGTTTATCGGGATGGCATAGGGTGTCTGGATAATCAGCGTAGTATACCCCAGAACCGTACTTTTCTAAGTACTCAGAGCACGAGTGCTAACAAATACTCAGGCACCTAAATTCGACCACCAGCTTGAGCTTTCATCTTCCACAGAAGGAGTGTCCTCTGGCACTGGAATGGAAGTCCTACTTCCAAGCTATTAGTTCCTTTGAGTTGAAACCTTAGAGCCGGACTCCTGTTGCCCGAGCCTGGAGGAGAACTCGAAGCTCTAAATCCTGAACAGATTCAGCGCACATTGGGGGCCTAGACCTAGCCAGGAGAGAGGCAAACGCCCTAAGACACAAAGATCCTAGACCCTAAACGCCTGCATTGTCCTTGGTAATTAGGTAGGAATGAACAGAAGCACTAAACCCCAAAGCCTCTAAACGCTGAAGTGAAGTCCAAGGTCGCAACTCCTTCGCAAGGCGGGGCAGTGTGGCTTCGTGATGCCGACTCAGATGCCTTGCTGAAACTTATTCGGGATAATAGGATATACAGTGCAGGCTTGGGGGTCCACAGTATGGAGTTCGGATAGCATTAGCGGGACCAAGTCTGAAGGGTTGATGAGTCAGAGGACACATGCTTACACGATGGAGACGCACTAGGCCCCACACAGCAAGATTTCGGAACTCGGCAAACGATCCATGCAAGACTCAAGACCGAGGGGATGCACGATTGAGGGTTCAGCTTCATAGTATTCAGGTTTGTAATGGTCCATGTTCAGTGCTTCTTCAAAACTGTTTGCAGTGCCCTGACGTTCCGGGATTTTGGGGCTTAGGGTTAGGTTTTAGGGATTTCGAGTTCGGTCCCTAGAAGCCGCTAGCATATGAAGCCCGAAAAGGGCTTGACCCCATAAACACAAAAAAACATGCCGGGAGCGCTGAAATTGTGCCGGCAAGTTTTCGGGTGATTCGGGGGTTCGGGTGAGATTTTGCAGCGGAAGTGCCCAGCCTTCAGTTGAGGGGTTTTGCTGCCTACGTGTTGTTTTCTCTGGGTTCCTGATTGCTCTCCGGGGTGTCGCGATGGGGCTCGAAGGCCAAGCTTCAGTTTGGGCCTTGAGGCGCGTTGTGCGGTCTGCTTTGTCGCGCCAGGCGCATTGTTTTGTAATGGCATTAGGGTTCAAGGACTTTTTCGTGGTGGCTGCTAGTAGTGCCAGCAACCGAGAGTGCTGATTGAGCCCATCCGAACCGTTCTGCCGCTGGTCATGTTTCTCTTGACTGGGGCTACTGGAAGCCAAACTGCGATGCAAAGGCCGGCTCCGAAAGTTCCTGAACTGGAGACCCGAAAATGAAAACCCATCAAGTCTTCAAAGCCAGCAGGAAGGTCCTCTGGCCGTAACACCTCATGCCCTCGGGTCTATAGAGGCTGAACCCCAAACCCTCAACTCTAGCCCGCAATCGCAAACGTCGGTCAAAAAGAGATCTGTCCTACTCACTAGATGCACAATCCAGGAAAACGGAGGCTGTCGATGGCAAGTTTGACGGTGCCACGGTGCTGGAGCCACGCACAGGCATCGAAGGGAGTTTTGTTCGTTTTCGGGCGTCGGTCGAAGGGGTTTCCGGTGTTCAGAACGGAATCCGCAGGCCAGACTCGGTTAGATGTGACAGAACTCCCAGGGTTTGTCAGGCATGGGTTCGAGGGGAGGTCTCCACCTGCCTCCCATCGACCCTTGCCGTACTACCATCACCCGTGCCATGATGCTAAAATGATAGTGAACCCAAAGTGTGTCGACAGGATTCTACCCCCAGCCCATTGCGACACTGGACTTCGCGTCCCTGCGGCTTTGGCTCAAAGTGAGAGCTGAGACTTCTGCGCTTGGGCGTGTTGAGGCTTGTGAAGCCGGGATCCCTTCGTAATTCAGGGCTAAGGGTTTCGAGCTAGGGCTTATTCTTCGGGCACAGGTAGGATTTTGGCTGTTAGGGTCCATGATCTAAGCCGGCATCCTTTATCAGACTTTATCGGCATCTCCCAGGACTTGTGAGGGTTTCTGGCCCAGGACTTGAACCCGAACACCCCGTCTAAGCTTCAGCGATTGCCTTTGCAAGACGGGTCAGTCATAGCAGGTCGTTGCTTTGTGAGTTTCCAGTTCAAGCAATTACAGTTCGTGCGTTGTCCGATGTAAGATGTGTAGTTCAGATCATCGTCGGTACGTGCTTCGTTCTAATGTTGCTGTCACATCTGCGGTTGCATCCCTCGTCAAACGAGAAGGCCCTGCTGTCGAGGAGTGTTCGCTGCCACACAAGTAAAGGCCCTTGCTGAAAAGCGATCAGCTTCGAACTCGAGTCACAACGAAGAATAGGACGTGCATTGGCTTAAGCTGCATTCCGAAAACCAAGGCAACCAAGAGCAAAATCACTTAAATCAGGGCAAACGCCCCTCCACCCGAAATCCCATGTTGGTCCCTTGGACCAACAGCGGCCCACAGAGCTGGCCTCAAACCTCAAGTCAACCCTGTTGAGCTCTTCACCCTAGCCCGTATATCGCAAACCTTTCGTTTTGAGCTTGAAGCCTTGACGGACCTTTTGCACTTGCTGGCGTCATGCGGTAAAGACGTGGCCGCACGTCGGCCCTTGGCATTTTCTGCTCCTGTACTGTTGCCAATAAACAAACCTCCAATGCAACCCCAAACCGTAAGCCGCATAGGCTTAAACCCTTCAGGTATCCTTCAATCATGATGGCGCACAACCTTTGCTACTGCACGCTCCTGAAGCCCGAGCAGGCGCGGTGCCTACCAGTTCAGGGCATTACCGGGTTTAGCATTCATGGTTTGCTTGCCTAGGGCTTTGGTGTTTCATGATTTGATGTTAGCAGGGTTTTACAGCTTAGGATCTGATGTCTTGGTTTGTTTATTCTTTGTTTGGGCGGTGCCTGCTAGAATTGTGGGTTGAAGGTTTCTCCCATATCAGGGCAGGGCAGGCCTGCTGCTTCGAGCTTGTTCCTTGTCGGCGGAGATCCTTGCTTCTGATAAATGGGTCCTGCCTTTGAAGGCCCTTGATGTGGATGCGGCAAAGAAACCCTCAGGAGGCAACAAACCAAAGAGGCGCAAGGCCGCAGACCTGGACAGGAAGCAGCAGCACGAGACGGGATCCCTGTAGCATCGACAGGCTATGTTGTAGCGAAGCAGATGATCGAAAGACTTCGATGTCGATTTCAACATCCACGTCCCAAGGCCCCTTGATGTCCAGATCTGAACCCTCCAAGCTCCTACCTTCCAGCCTCGGATCCGGCTCAGAGCTCTAGGGCCCTTTAGGCCTTAGGGTCTTGGATCCCTTTCACCTTTTCCTTTGTCAGAGCTACCGTACGCATGCCACAGGGTGCCCTGGAGCCTTAGTTTTCCTGAGTAGGACCGTGTTCAGACGAGGTCCGAGATCTTCAGCCGGAGGAGTATATCAAGACGCCCAACGGCTGACGCCCAGCTGCAGATCAGCTAGAGGCGTTGTGGGCGCCTCAACAAGGGTAGTTTGGACTCGCGGCAAGGCGATGGGTTGGTCAGCATTGCAGCATTGTCATTGAAGTCTTCTGCTTAGGCGGATTCTTGGGCGTTGAAGTTGTAAACCGTAATCAAGTCCCAAAGCCTAGACCCGAAGCGGGTGGAAATAAAAAGCGGGCCGCAAAAGGCCAGTGCCGAATCTCCCTCCCCGAGAGAAGCAAAAAACAAAGGACACAAGACAAGGATGTAAGCACACACACACACACAAACGCAGCGGTCAGCATGTGCTTCTGTTGTACTTCTGAGGGGGCAGAAAGGCCAAAGGTGTGAGATTTCGAGTTGTTGGATCCCTGTCCTCGTACTGATGCTGCCCAGGCTCACAGGGTAACCACGTTAGGGTTCGTGACGCACTAGGTGCTTGTTGGTGAGCTATACTGACTGACCCCCAACAAAGCGCTAGGACCCTTCATTTGTCAAACCCGCACAGAATCCTGACAACACCTTCAGATTAAGTCAGGAGGCACGTGAAGTGAACCGTGAACTTCACCAGGCTACTTTCTGAAGAGCTCTCGCCGAAGAGGGCTCCTCCCGATGATTTTGGAGGCTCACGAGGGAAGTTGGCAAGCACAACGGTTCAACCTGTGCAGATACCGTCGATTCGTTATATAAATTAGAGTCTAATCTAGAGGGAGGCAGGGCTGGACGTGAACGGCGTTGGCCGAAGTGCAGTGCTGTTTCTGAGCCTACTTTACAACTTTAGGGCGTCTTCGTGTCATTCGAGACGGTTTGGGGGTGGTTGAGGCTTCCAGGCTGAGAGCTTGCGGTTTATAAGGTTTAGGGTTTGTGTAACATGGCCGCTAGGTACTGATGAGCAATAGTTTCCAAAACCCGACACGCACATGCGCATCCAACCTACTCTTTGTATCTTGTGGAGATGCTCCCTTTGTTGTCCTGGTTGTCCTCACCTCTCGTGTGCGCACAATATGAGCAAATACAAACCATAAGCCAGTACTTATTGACTTATTGCTGGTTAATTTCTAGATCTAAGCGTAAACGGCAGCATTTCAGGTCAACAGACAGCTGACAGGTTGATGCTTACCTGTTGAGTTCCGTGACAGGCGTATTTTTAGACACCGGCGTTGCCTGGGCTCACTGTAGTTGCACTGCTTGGTTTGACTTGCCGTCGGCGTTTCCTTGAGCTATGGTGATGACAACACTGTGGCCAAGTATTGCGACTATGTCATGATGTTCGCCAGACAAACCACACAAAAAATCTTGCGCCGGAAAGTATCACGATAAGTGTTCATACAATAACTAGCTGTCCTTTTCCTACCAAAACCTCTAGAACAACCCTCGAAGGAGCTGCTGGCAGCACGAAAGCGCGCGAAGAAGGCCCGGAGATGCGATCGATCCCGAGTTTTGGGTAGAGGGCTTGGGTCAGCTTGTGCAATCTGTGCTCGTCCTCCGCATCGCAGCTCGTCTGCGCGCACCAGGTTTCTCCCGGCAAAACACAGCAAGAGGTGGTGAGAGGCCCTGGATCCCACACCCCGAACTCAGCCATTTGCTGTCGCCGTGCCGGTGGTCGAATGTGGCAAGAGCTACAAGTTCCCACCTAAGAGCCTTCCCAAGTCTTTGGCATCCTGCCCCTGCTCTACATCATGTCTCTGGGGCTGTGCATCGAATGACGGGGAATGACCAGAAGCCCTGCGGCATTTTGTGTTGGAGCTCATCTCTGGGAAGCTTTAACTTTGGTGCTTCTGCATTTTCGCGTTTACTGTTGAGGCAGGCCGCAGAGTGAAGGGCTCAGAGTCGAAGTCGAAGGGTTTCTGAGATGCCTACGTAGTCCCATTGGATGCCATCTTGTAGTTCTTTGCACGGTCTTGGTGGTGCAACATGCCACAGCAACCTGCTGCAGCCTCCTGCTCAAGCTTGTGGAGCTGGAAGCTAGCTTGGCGCAGTCTCGTCCCATAGCCACTACCGAGACGGACACGTCGCAAACCATGTGTCCTGAGAAGAGTTGTGCCTGAGTTGGCATGTGAGGTGCTTTGCTGTTCGGTGCTCACAAGGCTTCTGAAGGGTCCTGCCCATGTGCTTCACGACGAAGCTGCAGCATTAGCCGAGGCGGCCAAGTATCGCGGCACTTGCTTTGATAAGCAAACCCATTCCTTCAAAGCGAGACTTCGGGTTCTTGATGGCCCAGGACACATCGGTCGTTTCAAAAGTGCCAAGCAGGCCGCAGAGGCTTACGATCAACAGGTGAGACACATCTATCCAGAGGCGACTCCAGATCACAAGTTCCGGCGCAAAGGAAAGTTCGGAGGAGGACTCTTCCTACAGCGAAATGCCGGAGCAGGCACGCAAGCGTGGGCTTAAGCGAGGTGGCGCCAATTTCCGGAAGGAGGCCAGGTCCTTCGAGCTGTTGAAGGCAGCCTGCGATGCATCATCTAATTCACAGTAGTACGAGCTCGTGCGTTTGACGGGGTCTTGCAAAGCAGATGCAATATTCAAACCACGCGGTTCGTCACAACTTGGTTGTCCAGTTCAGCTCAAGGCAGCAACAAGTCCTTGGAGGCAAGGCAGGCCGTACCATTTTCAGCATTTGTTGGGGCACGACGGCATGTTGGTGATTCTTGTCGCGCTGGATGGGGCCCACTTCTGGGCGGCTGCCGGCGGGGGCAATTGAAGACGGATGGCGTATACATAACCATCGGATGTAAGAGTTATACTAATCGCCGACTTAAAGACGCAGCATCGCATTTGGTCGCTTGCTTCAAAGACCGGCAGAAGTTTCCGCACGTATCAGTTGAAGAGGCAGAGCATCAGTGTTCCCAGCTTCAGAGGCTTGAAGCGATTGCACGTCTTCAGCTCCGAAGTTTGTTTCGTTGCCCTGAATTACACATTCACGGCTCCTCATGAACATCAGACGACCGCCGACTCCTTGCTTGAGATTGGTGTTGGGGGCCCGGTGGTGTGCCTGCAAGAGAAGGCATCGCACTTCGACAGGGCAAGCAGCAGGTACCAGATAACCTTGTCCAAGTACGGAGGCTCACTTGGACGACTTGCTTATGATGAGGACGATTTTGACTTGCTGGTCGCCTGCATCTTGCATGAGGGCGATCAGATGCAAGGCGTCTTCCTGATTCCAGTTTCCAAATTGGTGTCGATGGATCTTGTGGCTAAACGTGCTTGTGTTCTCTCTTTGTACCCACCCTGGTCTCTTCCGAAGAGGGCTTTCTACAAGAAAATAAGAAAAGAAATGCCTGGCAGCTCGACTTCTTTCTCAACCTGCGCAGCTGGCATGGCTCCACTAAGCTGCCTGAGCAGGAAGGGGCGGCTGGGGCATCTCATCTCAAACACTCTCCATGACATGGCTGATAAACGATAAGTCGACGGGGGAGACCCGTGTTGTTTGGATATGGGATCGGGCCCAAACCGAATGGAACCACTTCCAACCTCCAAAGCGAACCCCTACCCTATGCCCAGCTAAACAGCTAAACTTGTACCCTAGTGAAAAAGGGTCGTGCAAAAAAAACTTGTACCCTAACACTGATGAAACCTTCGGAGAAGCCTTTCAGAATTCCCCCCCCCCACAAAAACGTTCCTACAGATCCATGTAAAACCCGGACTCATGCCCATAGAACCCGTGTAAGCCCCCGATAGAGCACGTTAGACCTCTTATAATTCTCAAACAATTCGTAAATCCTGCAAAAAGCTTATAACACCACATATATTGCAGCTGCTACAAGAAAAAAGAAACCTTTTGCGGCTTCCACAAAAACCGCCCTAAAGCAAGAGCGCGCGAGGCGATGGCGGAAGCCACCGATCCCCTCACGAAATCCGTGCTCAACGGCCGACAGCACCGAGCTCAGACCATCGGGACTTCAGGATACTTCAGGAGGGCTTAGGGTTTAGAGAACAGGGTGGTTTCAGGGCAAAAAAGGGACTTGTCTATCAGGGATTGAAGTTCTTGGCTATGTGCGGGCTTATGTAGGGGTTTGTGCGGGGTTGCGTCCGACCTTCGGATGTTCAGGGTTTATTGAGGCTTGCGGGGTTTGCAGATTTCGGCCTTTGGGTTGGAGGGCCATGTTTTGGACTTTCTCCTCCCAAGCACTCAGGGACGGTGGTGGGATACTTTCTGTCTCTCCAGGACACGGGCTGTGTCACGTTGGTTGTTTTACATACAGTTTCGCGAAGGTTTTTCGATTCCGGGAAAGGGCTCGAACAATTGAGGTGGTTTTGCTCTGCCCACATGAACGGCCTCACAATTTTGGTCGGTTGTGTTCGTATCTTCTAGTGTTCACGTCGAATTGGCTGGGTGAGCGGAAAGATAGAGAGCAAATGATAGTATAGACTTCTGCTGACTATCCTCATTATGTAGATCCCTTTGCTGGTAAGGATTACCGATACGCTAAGATTAGTTAGGGTCCTTAAAAAGAAGGGGGTTTTCAGTCCAAGGTCTGCCTTGGGGTGGTGCAGGTGTAGGCTCAGGGCCATGCCTGATAAGGACCTCATCAAAGCCTTGTAACAATCCTGGGGGGTTTAGGGTTTATAGGGGTTTAGGGTTGTAGAATGAACGTCGGGCCGCAAGTGCAGCCCTTCCATCAGGCTTGACGTATCGAATGCCTGGGAGAGAGAGAGGGTTATATAATGACCAGAAGCCTTCTGAAGACCCTGAAAAAAACACTCTTGAAAGCTGCCAGAAGACACGCAAACTGTTTTTTGCCAGGCTGGCGCTGAAGATCTCGGCAAACTCAGTCTACGGCTTCACAGGCAGGAAAATCATGGGTTTTAGCCTGAGGTTTGCAGTGTTAGTCAAGGGTTTCTTTTAGGGTTTTCGATGGCTTCGAAGGCTGTGTGAGGGTGTGTTTCGACTTCTGCAAGTTTGCGTTTCTTTGAGGGGGTTATCAAAATGAGGGGGGGTTCGGTTAAACGGCCTTGCAAAGCCTTCCGCATCTACTAGATGGTCCCTGATTTTCCTGCATTTTCCATGCAGGCCCCAGTCCGAGTCCATGACGTAAGAGCTGTCTGTTCGTCCTGCTACGGCTATAGGCGAAGGCAAGTTATACGATACCAGCAAACATCTGTTGTTGAGTTTGTAGTCTGTCATCTTCTGAAGAGGGGAGTTTCTGGCAGTCTTTTCATGACTTTTCCCAGCATGCGATCTGAACTTTCACCTTCTACCTGCTACCTTCCAAGCGAACAGTACCCAACGTCCGACAGTGCAACATCAGTATGGATGATCGGCCAAAACCAACACCCAAAGGCAGCGCCAAACATACTGGCACATTGTTTCAAGACGAGAGATGCTAGAATGCCCAAGATGCCCTGAAAAGGAGCCGGTAAGCAAGCCAACCCCATCAAGCACTCGACAGAGTTCGCTAGAAGACTTATGATGATTATCACGTGTTATCGCCCTCGCGAATGGGATTTCTCAGCTTCATGCATCGAAGGCGCCACTGTGGGCGTGCTGCCCTGCCTGGACATCTCCTCATCTGCCGCTCAGCAGAAGTTCTGGGGCCAGCCTTAAGCGTTTCAATTCAAGTAATATAGAGGTCAGAAGAATCAGTAGTGCTGTCCCCTTTGGCCCTTTGGTTGCACTAGAAGATGCCTGAAAATTATTCAGATCGCTAGGGCCCTTGCATCAAAGGCTTCATGCGTGCAGCACGTTTGAGGAGGCCCTTGAGTTCTCCCAACCCATGAGAGCCAGGTTGAGGTTTCGTACGTCCGTGCTGGATTCGAACAACGTCCGTGCTGTTTTTCTTTGCTGCCACATGCACAGCGACACGCAGGCGACGTGAAGGAACGAGCATCCATCCATCCCTCCATCCATCCGTCCAGCTGCCCAGCTAGCCATTCAGCTAGCTATGTAGTTCTCCACTTAGCTAGCTGTTGATCTACATTATGCACAAGATTGTATAAGTATCCTGTATGTGACAACGTACAACATACAGTTGTAAGAACCAAGCTGCGTGCATACGCACTGACGCAGACAAACACGCACACACAAACCCACATACAGTGTGCTAGATTCCTACCCCCTGTTAACCCCCAAATTCGCCCGAATGGGTCGGAAGAGAAAAGTACTAGTCCGCGTCTGGGGAGCTTCCTGGGCCAGGTCACAGCTTTTGGGCGGACGATGATCGACCATACAAAGCAGATGGTTCAGGCGTGGCTTCGCATTCGGGGGAGTTGAGGGGTGGAATTAAGGCTCAGCTCAAGAAGCGTTTAGGCCTAGGCCTAGGGTTCGGGCTTTAAACCTTCGGGTTTGGGGTGTCCAGGATTTAACTTAGGATCGTGATTCTACGCTTGTCTGCCAGAACCCTCCCGAGGGCCTGAAAAATTGTGGGTTTTTGTTCTGACAGCCGCCCTTTCACAGATAATCGGCCCACCGCTGCTGCATCGTGCGCAGGTTCGCAATAAATTCGGTACAACCTGTATGCAAGCCTTTACAAATTTAGGTCTACACGGCATCTATGGGAACCCGTCAGGAGAATTTCTGCATCGAGAAGGGCTACGCGCATGATGCAGAGGTCATCTACGGAGACACAGACTCCGCCCCTTGGGCCGACGGTGGTTATATCATGGCTACCTTATCCTACCAGTGGGGGGGTATATTGATAGTAGAATATACGGCTTGTATACCTGAACTTGATCCTACTTTAGGCAGCCTACAAATGTCTGAAACGGCACATGTAGTCAGTCTAGGTTAACCTTTCAAGCAGGCTTCGGTTTGCTTTGGGCAGGCATGGTGAAGGAATAATGGCAGCAAGGCAGTGACATAGCTTCAGCCTTTCGACTTAAGTCTAAAAACACCAAGGCTTAGTCTGTCAACCTCAACAGAAGCAGATCCAGACGAATAGGAACGGAAACCAGGCCCCAAAAGCAGTCGGTTGCGCCCTAAAGTTTTATGTAGAGGCCTGAACAACAGCAATGGCTCCTGAAAGCCCGCAACAAAGTCCCACAAAAATCTATCCTGACTGCTACAGCCTCGGTGTAAAACCCTCTGAAAGCACTGCAGACTCCCATTTAAAGCCCTATGGCCCTATGTCTCAGCAAAGCCTTTAAAAAGCCTTTATCTCCCCCAAACGGCCGAAACCCCTTAACCCTAAACCCCTGAACCCTAAACCCCTAAACCCCTAAACCCTAAACCTGAGCCCATTAAACCCCAGGTCATGGTGAAGTTCGGTGTCGACGATATCGCCGAGGCCATGCGCCTAGGCCAGGAGGCGGCCGAGCCTTGGCTCGCACGCGAGGTTTTGGGTTTCTTTGTTATAGCAACCTTTACTTTTTTTATATAGTTATTATAGTTTCGTGGTTATAGACTAATTATAGTGATAGTGTTAGTTATAGTTATAGATATGGTGACAGTTTTAGTTATGGTTGTTTATAGCAGGTGCAGCGTAGCACATATGCTGGCTTGCTCTTTGGGGGTAATGGGTAATGGGTCTGTCGCGTTTTCTGTTTAGGCCTCGCGGCGTGGAGTTGAGGATTTGACTCATTGACGCAGGAGGCTACAGGAGTAATCTTTCGTTTTGATAGTCTTGGAAGTCTTCCTTGATTGTGGCCAGCAGCCTCTTTCTCAAGCGACCGCAAACGTGAGCGTTAGAGCGTGAACCGTAGGGTGAAGCCTCGCACTGTTTGCGGGCAAGGGGCTGTTCTGAAGTTGTGCATACCACTGATTTAACCAACCTCCCTTCTGTGTATTCCCGGGATGGTGAAGGCGCCCGCCATAAAGTGATGCCAGAACAAGCCCTTAGTCTTAGAGTTCAGCTCTAGCTGCCACGCCCTCTCGAAATAGCTTGATCGAGACCCAACACGCTTGAGAAAGCGGGCTTCAATCCTTCAAGGCCCACTAAACCCTAAGATTTGTCAAACTCCCCACCTGTCAACAACGTAGTACACCGAAACCCTCCAAGCCCCAAAGCCCTGAAGCCCTACATCTCGTGCCGTTCAAAACTGAGGACCTGGTCTCAGCCACCTTTGCAAAGCCGATCAAATTGGAGCTGCTTGATACGTTCGGACTTGGCTTGTGTTGTTTAGGGCTTTTTTGGTGTTTAGGAATTAATGCTTAAGGGTCTCTAAGGTTTACGATTTTTAAGATGTCGAGCTGTTGGGCTTTGCTGCTTAGAGCTAGGGAGCACCAGGTAGCTGTCATAGAGCCCTTGCAGCTCCCGGAGCTGGCCCTTCCGTTAGAGTAGAGGGCATGCTGCAGGTGGGGTCAAGTCAAAAGGCTTGAAGTTCGGTAGCTTCTACAGACAGGGCTCTCGAGGTCCCTACTGCAATCGTACACGTGTGGAGGGACTCTTCTTTCCCTCAAGCGAAGTCCATTGGCTCTTGACCTATAGGTCCCACCCTTGAGAGGCATAGCAGCAGCACAACAGAGGAGTTTCCCAAGTTTGCTGCGCGAACTTCACACGGGGGGCGATTTCGCCATGCGTGGTTCGGGCACAGGGGGCGATACTTGCGCCATGTGCAAAAGTAGCTGCAGCCATCTGTATTCCTTTAAGGAACCGGGCTTTGAAGCAAAACGGGTAGTTGTGGTCGAGGCCGTGGAGCTCGTCCTTCATGAGCCGCCTGTCTCTCCATGGATAAGGTAGACCTGATTGGCGGGAGTGGTAGTAGAGGACGATGCTGTGCTCGGGGCCTGAGTCACCTCAAAGTGTGGGTTCGCTCGCAGCCGGTCGGGAATCGGTACCCAGGCATTCGTGCAGTACGCGCACGGTGTGAGGGTCCGAACTTGGTTGGAAGTCCGGCTGCGGGCACAATCCTCATTGCAGTGCCATGCTCGTCCGTGGGGCGTGACGAATAGGTCCCCAATGTGGTGGTAGCACAGGCGGTACTCGGTGTGATAGTCCAGCATGCGCTGCTGTGTACAGCGGCAGTGAGGCGCTGGTTATATCCTCTTACCAGCTGCAAGTCCAGTGCTAGGCCCTCGGCCGTTTGGACTGGGCTATAGTACATAGCCGTGTCGGTCTGGCACCACCGGGCGATCGTCGTAGGGGTGGAAGTGGATCGTGTCTGTGTGGTAGTCGAGGAGCGGGTGTCCGGCAGGTCGTCGGTCTGCACCGCTTGGTGGGTGACCCGTACCGGCGTAGGCCTGAAGCACGTTATCAGCCGTTGTATCTGCTCGGTCGGGTGCAGGTAGACCACCAGCAGGAGCAGGAGGAGCGGGAAGAACACGTAGTAGCCTGCCTCAAGGTAGGGGTCCAGGTGGAACCCAGGATGCACCGTGAGTTCGGTCGACACCTCGGCCCGGGCAGCTCCACTGGGTAGAACCTGGGCGAAGAAAACCACAAAGGCAGCGGCAGGTGCGGCTGCACGGTTGCCTGGGGCAACCTTGGGCTGCGCAAACTGCTGCGCACTCTTATGGCGATCTGCCGCCGTTTTCTTCCTCGATGCCTGGTAAATGTCGTCCGCCACGATCTTGTGCATATGCGTCCTCAATCGGTCCGCCAGTAGTTGGGTTGCCGTGTCCTTGGTGAGGCCGTCCGCATACTGTCTCTCTGAGGAAACCCATCGGGCCTCACCCCCAATCTCCCGGAGCTTGTCCCTCGTCGTGAGGGCTTCCAGGCAGGTCCGCTTGTCTGCCGCCGATGAGACATAGAGCTCTTCGCGGTGCAGGAGGTCGTACAGGCACTTGGCGTCCACAATGAGGGCGCATGGTGAGATCCAGCGGTAGGTCTCGGGCTGGACTTCACTGATCCTGAACTGGGGGTCCAGCATGGCCTTCCAGAAAACAACCGTGAAGTGGAGGCAGTCCGCTGCTTCAGAGGCCGCTTGTCCTTCCGCCGCCAGCGTTGACCTGGCAACCTGGGCAGCTTGAAGGACCTCCAATCCAGGAGGTGGTAGCCACACACGGTCCCCGCCAAGACTTCCTTCGGCGACAAGCAGATCATATATCCTCCTTGGCTGGAGAGGTCTGCTCGGCATGCGAAGGCGGCGTCCGAGTAGGCCACAAAGGTGATGTCCTCGACAGTGGCCCCAAGTGGGGCGTACTGTAGCTTCACGTCACTGTTGGCCTTGGCAAAACGCAGGACCTTGTTCGCCGAGAGGATCGTAGAAACCTTCGCCTTCGGCACTTCACCCGCCAGCATTGACGTCATCGCCTGTAGGTGAGGGGAAGTCTGGGTGGCAGCCCACTGCAATGCACCCAGCAAAGCTCGTAGCTGTGTCTTCTCCTTGTCAGTCGCCGGGCTGTCGGGGTCTGAGAGGCGGCCCTTGTCCAGGGTGATCGGCTTGAGCTTGGCCAGGTAGTCTGCGTGGCCGCAGCTGTGGCCTCCATGGGCCTCCTTCTTCGCACTCACCCCGAGAAACTCGAAGACATCCTGGTCCCCGAGGTAGTCCCGAAACGAGAACAACTCCATGAGACTCTTCTTAATGGCGTCCTTGTTCTCGGGGGAAGTAGTTCCGAGCAAATCGTCCACATGAAGGCCGACTGCGCATCGCAGGTCCGGGGCGAAGTATAAGAAAAGACAAGCATCGAGCGGATGCTTGGTGAACCCGGCCTGCCCCAACCTCCGAGAGGCTTCATCATACCACGCTCGGGGAGCGTCGCAGAGGCCGTACATGGGTTGACGCAGTCGCATGCACACCTTGGGATCGGTGATTCCCAACAGCTGGCGAGCGTCAGCAGGTAGTCTGACCCACAGGGTTCTCGACGGTGCGTGTTCCCGTCCTTGTAGGAATGCCGTAGAGACATCCGCCACAAAGGTCGACCATTGCTTCAGGGTGGTGAGGCTGAAGAGGGTGGTGCGGCCCAATCTGGACAAGGTGGGTGATGTAGAGTCCACCAATCCAGCCAGGGCATCAGGATCCCGGAAGCCCTGGATGATGAGTCGAGCCTTGGCCCTTGGCGTTCCATCCGGGTTCTTGGACCACTTCAGGATGAAGTGGGCCTTCAGAGTGCGCCCAGGGGGCGCGTCCGATTCCGTCCCAAACTCCCAGACGCAATTCGTGAAAAACGATCCCAATTCTTTTCTTTTTGCATCAATGAACGCCACCCTGTCTGACAAGCTGAGGGTGCGTTCGTTCAACGACTTGGCGTCTTTCTGTCTCTTCTCCTTGGGTCCCCCGTAGGTTGGGGCTCCTCCGGAGCTGGTGTAGAACGCGGTCTGGGCCAGGTGACGGTCCTTGTTGGCAATCTTGAAGACGGTGCGGCCAGTCCACCAGATGCCCTCTCTACTCTTGGAGTTCCGCCAACGGTCTTGGTGGCAATGGTTTCCTTGATAGGAGTTGCGGACCTTGGTGAGCATCGTCACGGGTACAGGGCAGTCACCTGTCTCCTGAGGGTGGAACAGAGTGTTCCTGGCCACGTAGTGGTGCCTGATGAGGTTGTTGCCCTTGATCTCCCACGTGTCGTAGATGTCGTCCAGGACCATATAGCCGTGCTCATCCGCAGTCCATCCCTCAGGTAAACAGCTGGCCTGGGTGTCCTCGGTACGAGAGTCGTCAAGGACGTCGACTGTGAAGCCATGTTCTGTGGTCGGACCGTGATCTGGGTATGGCTGGGGTCTATCACCAGGACGGGATGGTTGTGGACCATAGCTGATGGTTTCGCTCCGGTCTAGACGGGCTCTTCTCTGGTGGAAGGTCTCGAAGGGCACTGACTTGAAAGTCGGGTGCACCTCCGGCTCGGGTGGTGGAGGACCATGGCTGATGGTTTCGCTTCGGTCTAGCCGGGCTCGCTTCTGGTTGAAGGTCTCGTCGGGGCTGCCCTCGAAGATCGGATGTAGTCGATGTTGAGTTCCTTCCCCAGGGGAAGGTGTCTCCTCATTGGAAGGCGGCGTGGGTGTACTCGCTCCGGTGAATGTACCGGGTCTGTCCGCTGTAGAAGGAGCCGTCGTGGAACTCGTGGTGTCACCCCCGCCGTCTCCGCCCTCATCGTTGTCTGTGTCCGGGTCGATGTCCGGATCATCGACTCCGCCTTCCTCACTGTCGGGGTCCTCCGCCTCGTCAAAGTCATCGTCCTCGCGGGCAGCTGTAGCAGCGGCTGGTGGGCCACCAGCAAGAGGCTGGGGGGGAGGTGGTCCACGAGGACGAAAAGTGCCGCCAGGCGAACGCAAGGTGGGCGTGGTAGACACCGGGGACGGCAGCTCGGCGGAGTCCAGGATGCTGGGGAGTGTCGGCGTGGGGGTGAGCTCCAGGTCGTTGCCAGTTGGAAGTGGAATTTGCGGCCCCGGTGGCGGCGGAGGAGGCTGATCGGGGGGTTCATCCCCTTCATTGTCGGTGCCCTCCTGGTCGGTGTCCGCCAGATCTTCTCGTCGACGCTTGCGGTTGGTCCGGAAGAGGTCGATGTAGACTGTGGTGCCGCGGTTCTGAACCTTCCTCACCAGCTCGTGGAGGGCAGGGGTGTCAGCAGCCAGGGTCGCATTCTCCAGATCGGGGCGCACATGCTCAGGAGCGGCCCGGATCAAGGCGGTACCATGAACCAGCCAGTGCACCGTAGGCGGTGTGTTGTGTCCCCGCTGGGACTCGACGAGCACCACAGTGGCTGGTCCTTTCCATCGAATCCTGGGGCCGGGCCCCGCTGCTTCTGTCCAGTAGAAGCATCTCTGGCCAACCAGTAGGCGCGGAGGATTACCGCGATGTTGTCGTAGTAGAGCGCGACGTAGTCGAAGGTCGTTGTCGGCTTTCACCACCGCTGTGGCAGCCCGAACACGGCACTGCATCTTGAAGTGAAAGGCCTCGCTCGGGTCGAGGTGGCTGTAGTTCACGTTGGAGTCGAGCAGGCTGCCAGGGACCGTGGGCTGGTACCCAAGCACCCACTGCGTTGGGCTGAACCCACCAACAGACAGGCTCTGGTTGAGCTGTGGTACCACAAAGGTGAGGGCCTCGATGAGGGGCTCTGGTCCGCTGGCCGTGGGGGGATTGTCCTCCAGGTAAAGTTCCACTGCTCTGCGAAGAACCTGGTGGCGTCTTTCCAGCTGAGCCAGTCTTTCGTGAGCCTCGCCAGGTGAGATGATCAGCTCGATGCCGTGCTCGGTGGTGAAGTGCATCATTTCGTCACTTCCCCATGCTCGGTGGCTGTCCACAAAGAGAGTTGTCGGAGGGCCGAAGGTACGTATCCATCCCCGCTGCAGAGCGACAACAAACTCGCTGGTGGTTTCCTTGTGCACATACCGGGCGGCCAGGAAGCGAGTGGCCGCGTCCATCATGGTGATCACCGGAAGGGTCTTGTCGGACACCTGCAACCAGATGGTGTCAGAGAGGAGGCGCTCGTTGAAACGGTAGGTGGTCCGAAGAGTGGACTTGGGCACCTGAGCTGGAGGGGCCAGCTTCTTGCACGTGGCTTGCGCCGCTCTGTGCTAGCACCGTGCTCAGATCCTTGTTGTTGGGATGGCCCATGTTCCGGTGGATGCGTGCCACGATCCTGTTGGCCTCGGCGGAGGTGTGGCAGTCCAGCTTTTTGAGGCACCCGGTCGGTCTCGTTGACGTTGGCACTGGACCAGGCAGCTCTACTGGAGGTGGCTCCTGAGTTTGGGCCTTCTTGGTCCGGGTGGTAGTAGAGGATGTCGCTCTGGCCTGGTTTCCTTGTCCAAATTGTTGCTCAGCGGCCATGTCTTGGAGCGTGGGGAGGTCCAACTCCTTCAGGGCAGGGTCCTCCTCCGGGTTGACCCGGGGGTAGAGGTCGTCGTCTCGGGCGGTTCGCAATCCGAAGGCTCGTATTCCTCCATGTCCACGTCCGAGGCTGGGAGAGCCTCTTCGGTGGGGCACCCGCCGTAGACGAAGTAGGCGTAGTGGGCTCCTTCGAGGCACTCCGCAAGGCACTCGCACATGGCGGGTTGGTAGGTCGCAGCTGCCTTCGCACGCGAGCCCAGACGGGCGCACTGCCCCAGGAGTGCTTGGTGTGGATGGGATCCATCACACCGATATGCTCCCCGGGTCTCAGCCAGCAAGCGATAGTTGGTGACCAGCTTGGTGGCCTTCTTGATGTGTGTCTCCACGCCATGCTGGTTGGGGAGCTTGGCCCCAAGAGCGCACTGATCCACATGAATGGCAATGCCGAGGTCGTGGAAGGCGGGCGTGGACCAAGCCTTCGAGCTCATCGGGTGCTCCAGCACCACTATCCCATACTGGGACATGCGCAAGAAAACCCGACGGGTGAACTTGAGGTGCGTGTGGTGATGGTAGTCCCTGGTTGCTTCGAGGAGCTCGCGGTCGTGGTCGTTCCGGACATTCATGTTTTGTAGTGGCGACCACTTTGTACAGGGCGGGGCCAACCATACCACGTGTGGCATCTCCGAGTCGAGGAGCTCCAGGAAGTCGCGGCAACATTGAGGCTTTTCGAAATCCCAGTCCGGGAGGTCGAAGGCTCTGGTACGAAAGCCGCGAGCAGCCATGGCAGAAGAAAGATTGCCGGAGCCGCTGTACACCTCCCAGAAAGTGGCATTGGCCGTTTCAGCGGCTCGGTAGGCGTCCTCCAGGATGCGGTCAAGGTGGTTGCGACACCTGTTAATGCCATAGCCGATGCTCTTCCAGATGTTCGGGGGCAGGGCACATTCCACCGCAGGGGCGAGGCCGCTGGAGGACGTTGCAGGATACACACTTCCCTGTGGTTCGTCGGCTTCGACCGCGGCTGCTTCCATCGCGCCTTCATCCAGGAAGGGAGGGCCAGCTCGTCCTGTGTCTCGGAGGTAGGTGTCCATGTCGAGGAGGCCGCTCTGGGAGAGAAACGTGTTCACGCAATCGTCGGTGACGTAGTCAAAGGCGTACTCCGTGCCCACAGTATCCGGGCTGAGGCCGTCGTCAAGGGCCAGGAGATACTCGCCCTTTGGTCCGACCAGGGCCTTGGTCCATGGCTCCTCCATGATTGAGACCTGATCGTGGTCGTAGTCCATCTTCACCTTGAGGGCCTTCAGGATCGGTCGCCCGATGAGCACGGGCATTCCCCCTTGCACCAGGAAACACTGTATGCGTCCATGGACACCTCCGACCCACACCGGCAGGTGGATGCACCAGTCCGCCACGGACCGGTTGTCCCCTCCGAAAAGGAAGGTCTTGTTGGTGCGGGCGAAGCAGAACTCGCTGGGGTGGACACCCTGTTCCACCAGGCACTGGAGGATTTCCATGACAAAGTCGTGTCCTCCCACCATCGTGGAGGCACCTCCATCTTGTAGGCCCACGGCTCGTCCGACCGTAGTTGCTCGGAGGTCGCTGCGGCTTGTTGCCGCCATCATCGCCTCGCCCTTCTGTCGCTTTGTCGGGGAACCGCTCGGCGATGGACTCGCGGAGGGTGGTTTTGGGCACTGAGCGGCCCAGTGGCCCAGCTGGCCGCACCGTAGGCACCGGGTAGCATCTGCTCGAGCACGTCCTTTGGCAGGAGGAACTGGAGGACGAGGGCCGCCTTTAGGGCCTCCCTTCTGCTTCGTCTTCCCGCCACGGCCTTTTCCGACCTTGCCTTTCGAGGATCCCTGCATAGCAGCCACGGGCAACTGGGCCCCGGGACCTCCTTGGTCCACGACAGCTACCACGGGGTAGTAGCCCCGTGAAGCCTTCACCTCGGCGCCTTGCCGTCGGGCGTCGAGGTAGGCGGCATATGCCTCCTCTGTCTCATCATCCTCCTCGTCCAAGCCGTAGTACGCCGGGTCGACGGGCTCCTCCGGTACGGCCTCATAGTCCTCGCCATCTTCATATGCCTCTGGCTCGTCCTCGTAAGCCGGGCTCTGCATCCTCCGTGTAGTCCGGGTCCGGGTACTCCTGATATTCTTCATCCTCAGCGGCATATGCATATTGGGCTCTGGAAGGCTGCCAGCGGTAGGCTGAATATCCACGGCCACGTCCCGTCGGCCGGTGGTTGTCCAGCCGGGAGTTCTTGTAGTCCTGGCCGAACAGGTAGAACAGGGACTGTTCCACGGCCGCGACGCTGAGCTTCTTATTGTCCAGCTGGGACAGCACCAGTTGGCGTTGCTCAGGAGAGAGCGACGCCCGTCGGAGCAGCAACCATCCTCCCACCGCGTCCGGCAGCTTCACATCATGCTTCTCCAATTCTCTCGCGGCCTCCCGGTGGTTGGAGCAGTAGTGGATCAAGGTCTGCCCCGGAGGTCGCGAGAGTCCGTAGAAGAATTTCTCAAAGGCCTTGGGCATTTCAACGCGGGCGTCATACTGGTAGACTCGGTCGAGCTCCTTCAAGATGGTCTCGAAGCCGTCGTCCGGGGCCGTGTCGGCAAGGTGCTCCACCTGCTTCCAGACAGGGCCAGCCAGGCTTGTCAGGAGGTTGATGGTGGCCTCCGTCTTCTTATTGCTGAGCGCCATCTTCTTGAAGTAGAGGTTGACCCGCATGCGGTACTCGCGGTAGCTGGAGGGCTGCCCGTCAAAGATCGGGATGTAGTTGTCTCGGACCACCTCAGGCGCGCAGGTGGGTCCAGGAGCAGCCTCAGATGTACCATTGCCCTTGCCTTGCTGGGAACCACGGCCACCGCCCATGGTCTCCAGGTCGCGGGAACGCTGACAGAAATCGAATCCTGGTCCCCAGGAGCTTCTTCCCGAGCTCCGCTACCAACTTGAAGTTCGGTAGCTTCTACAGACAGGGCTCTCGAGGTCCCTACTGCAATCGTACACGTGTGGAGGGACTCTTCTTTCCCTCAAGCGAAGTCCATTGGCTCTTGACCTATAGGTCCCACCCTTGAGAGGCATAGCAGCAGCACAACAGAGGAGTTTCCCAAGTTTGCTGCGCGAACTTCACAAAAGGGTTTAGGGTTCAGGGTTTAGGGTTTAGGGGGGGCCTGTTGCAAAAAGGGATCGAGCTCATTTCAAGCCTGTGGAAAAGGGATCAGTAAAAAAGGGCTTGAGGATCAGTAAAAAAGGGTTTAGGGTTGAGGGTATACCGCAGAGGGTTGAGACTGTGGGGATTCCCGGGCTTTCGACTCTGGTAAGAGCCACTAGACGTAGCTCGGAGGTTTGCGGTTAGGCATCGAAGCTCGAAGATGCACTGGTGTTGTAGTGAATCCTCAAGTATGGGCCGTGCTGTTCCTTCCAGAAGCCTGCGTAGCTCGGTTGGGGTTTCGGGTATAGGGTTGGCTTCTATGGCGTGTCTTTGCATGGCTTTGTTGTTCATGGCTCGCGTACCGGAGCTTTAACGCTTTGCCGTCTCGGGATGCAGGAAGGTGTGGTGGTTTGCTAGCTGACCTGATTCGGGTGACAAAGGTGGGTACAGCTAGGGGAACCAAACAGTCAGACCATGACCAAGCAGCAGCGACACAACCAGTCACAACCATCATCCTCGTGATTGCCACAATTTCGCACAGCTCAGCCCTAACCCCTTTTGACCCCGAACTTGGCTCAGGTTTGAGAAGGTGTACTGCCCTTACCTGCTCATGAACAAGAAGTGCCTCGGCCAAAATGCCAGTCCGATGGAGTCGGACAGCTCCTCATAAACTCAAACCCCAATACAGTAGTCGGAATAGTTACCAACATTGTTCCTTAGAGTTCCTCAATACACTGCTATCCATAGTATACCCCAAAACCCTGTGCCAAGTACTAAGGCCCCTATGCACCGTAAGCCTTGGGGTTTAGGGTGTCAGGGGTTTAGGACTGTAAATACCGGCCTGAGACCCTCACTCCAAAAGAGGGCTCTGCAGTCGCTCCGGCCTAGAAAGTCCTCGCACATGAGCCTGATCCCCGAAGACCTGTGCTAAAAACAACATAGCGTTTCCACGAAGCCTTGGCTATCTCTGGCCGAACATCGTTCAGACATCACCACCACAGCCCCGCGCCCTAATCGCGTTGACAGTGCTGCCACAATGTAAGGCCAGCATGTCGTATTGGTGTGCACGATGCGAACACGCACCCCAGTTCGAAACACTAAGTTCGTCGAATTCCATCGACCGATGCCAATACTCTAGCTTTGTCTTTTGAGGGCCAGATGGAATCACAATCAGATTCTGACCGTTTGCGATCTCTGCTGAGGCCAGAATCCTCGGCTCCCCAAGACATGATGCGACCCTGGCCGCTAACGTCCTTGTTAGAAGCACAACGAGACGGACTTTGACAACTTCCATTTGACCTCTAACTTCGCAGGTTTCTGCGGCTGAAATTGATGCCTTAGACTCCACAACCCCCAAGGTGTATAACAGTGTAGCATCTCCCGAGTTTTTCCCCTGCAACGCGACCTAGTCAGCCAAGTGGGTGGCTAAAAACCCAAGTGATCCCTGAGAGTCGCGATGTAACAGAGTAGTTACCCCAAACCCGAAACGTAGGAAAAACCACAGTACCGGTGGATTCCGACACAAAGGCGCTATGCCGGCCTCTACTGGACGAACCCGGAGAAGTACCTTTGGCAGCTCTTGAAGAGTAAGGCTTAGACTTGATAGGGTTGAGGCTATATGCCTAGCCCATGTGCAAGAGGGTTTAGGCTAGATGCCGCTGGACATCAAGCTAAGGTTTATACGTGGGTTATCCGGCTTAGAATCAGATTTTGCTGTTTTGAGGTTCAATGCGAATTCTCACAGCCAGGGGGGTACTTTCTATTGGTACCCGCAGCTCGAAAAGCACTTCAGGTACGACAAGCTGGACGCCAAGGGTATCGAGACCGTCCGCCGCGACAACTGCCCCGTGTCGGA